TGAAATCAATAAAAACATATTTTTTAAAAAGGATACATTTGGACACACACACAGGGAGAATGCCATGTGAAGATAAAAGTAGAGATGCCCATATAAGCCAAGGATAGAGGCATGGAGCAGATTCAGCCCTCAGAAGGGACCAGCCCTATGGACACCTTGATCTCGGTCTTCTGGTCTTCAGCACTGAAAGACAATACATTTCTACTGTTTAAGTTCCCCTGTTTGTGGTACTTTGTTAGGCATCTTTAAAAAACGAATACAGAAAATATCAAATATTTATCCAAGTCACTATGGGAAGAATTTGCTAAGGATAATTCTTTAAAAAGAACAACTCTGCCCAGCAGGTGATGCTCAGTGGTTGAGCGTCCATCTATGAAACAGGAGGTCACAGTTCAATTCCCATTGCGCAGGTTGTGGGCTCAATCCCCAGTAAGGGGTGTGCAGGAGGCAGCCGATCAGTGAGTCCCTATCATCATTGATGTCTCTATCTCTCTCTTCCTCTCTGAAATCAATAAAAAATTATTGTTTAAAAAGAAAAAAGAAGAAACTCAAACTGTTAGTTCAAGGAATACAATTGTCAAGATTTGTTGCCAAAGATAAAATTCTACCTAGCCTTCTAGCAAAAAGTAAAATTTTGGAAAACTTGCATCTGCCACCTTTAGCTTCACAGCTTCCTAATATTGTAAGACTTTTGTGATGAGATTGGTGGCAGTATCAATGAGTGTTATATTTTTATTATTGTATAATAAAATGGGTCAACATTTGCAAGATCTGCATAAGAATTCTTAAAAATTATTTATGTATTTATTTTTTTAATTTAGAGGAAGAGAGAAACATTTATTTATTATTCTACTTATTCATGTATTCATTGGTTGATTTTTTGATTTTTTTGTTAATCCTCACCAGAGGATATTTTTTCCCTTGCTTTTCAGAGAGAGTAGAAGGAAGGGAGGAAACTGGGGAGAAAGAGAGAAAGAGAAACATCTATGTGAGAGAGTCACATTGACTGGTTGCCTCCCACAGGAGGCTCAACCAGAGAGTGGAGGGTGAATCTGCAACCTAGGTACGTGCCCTTGACTGGGAATCCAATCTGTGACCCTTCAGTGTGCGGGCCGACACTCTAACCACTGAGCACACCGGCCAGGGCTGTGTCTCATTCTTAACTATAACACTTCAAATGGTGAACTCCTTGTATTCAGTAACAAAACTATCAGTGGTTAAGCTTTGGTGCAGTATCAAAGAAGAATATCCACAATTATCTGCATAGGATATAAAAATATTTCTTCTTTTTGCAATTACCTATCTGTGTGAGGCTGGATTTTCTTCTCATACTTCAACCAAAACAACATATTGTAATGGAGTGAAGGCAGAGGCAGGTATGAGAATCCAGCTGGTTTAAATCAGATATTAAAGAGATTTTCAAAAATGTAGAATACTGTCACTTTCCTCATTCACTCTTTGGCCTGAAGATATAATTACACTACACAGTGAATTTATTATTGCTGTTTTAAATTCTCAACTTAAATTTATAAAATTATAAATATTGATAGAGCCCTAACCGGTTTGGTTCAGTGGATAGAGCGTCAGCCTGCGGACTCAAGGGTCCCAGGTTCGAGTCCGGTCAAGGGCATGTACCTTGGTTGCGGGCACATCCCCAGTAGGGAGTGTGCAGAAGGCAGCTGATTGATGTTTCTCTCTCATCGATGTTTCTAACTCTCTCTCCCTCTCCCTTCCTCTCTAAAAAAATCAATAAAATATATTTTAAAAAGTATAGATGTGACCCATATAACCAAAAGCTTTTGAGCTGCTCAATAATTTAGAGAATGTAAAGGGGTTCTAAGGCCAAAAATTTTGAGAAGCACTGGACTAAGAAATATAAATGTTAAAATCTAAGACCTACCTAGATAATACTCTGTGAATTCTCACAATGACTCCAGGGAGTAGGGACTATTATTATCCCCATTTACCAGGTGAATAAAACTGAGGCACAGTGCTTTTCCACCCTGGCCTGTAAAACAAGCTCAGAACAAAAGTTATGAAGAGTTTAAAAGAAACTTTTTTGAAAGGGAGGGGAAAGGGAACTTTCTACTAACTAACGACTCCTTAGTGCCAATTAAGCTTGAGTTGTGAAAACAGCAGGGAGGAGGGGGATGCAAGAATGTAGCTTTGGCCCTGACCGGTTTGGCTCCGTGGATAGAGCGTCGGCCTGCGGACTGAAGGGTCCCAGGTTCGATTCCGGTCAAGGGCATGTACCTTGGTTGCGGGCACATCCCCAGTAGGAGGTGTGCAGGAGACAGCTGATCGACATTTCTCTCTCATCAATGTTTCTAACTCTCTATCCCTCTCCTCCTCCCTTCTTCTCTGTAAAAAAAATCAATAAAATTAAAAAAAATTAAAAAAAAAGAATGTAGCTTTGAGAGTAGCTTATCTTTTCCTGCATTTTGAACAGAGGAGCTATTTGAATCAGAGGAACCAATAATCTTGGGGTTTAATTACCAGGTGCTTCTCATAAATTGTGGAAGGCCATAGCAAAGAAAAGGAAAGGCCTTTTTCTGTCCTTACACTAAGAACTTAAAAGCAAATAACAGCTCTAGCAGGTTTGGCTGAGTGGATAGAGCATTGGCCAGCAGACTGAAGGGTCCCAAGTTCTATTCTGGTCAAAGGCACATACCTCAGTTGCAGATTTGATCCCTGGACCTGGACAGGGTGCCCCCTAGTCAGTGTGCATGTGGGAGACAACCAATCAATGTCTCTCACATCAATGTTTCTCTCTCTGTCTCTCCCCTTCCCTTCCATTCTCTATAAAAGTCAATGGAAAAATATCCTTAGGTGATGATTAGCAACAACAAAACAAAAACAGGCACACAGAGGGGAAGTAATTGCTCAAGTTACGCAGCAAGCAAATGCCAGGACTGGGATTTGAACCCAGGCATCTGGCCCCAAGCTTACATACTTCCTTTGGCAACATGCTTTAAAAGCCTTTAAAATAGTCACCTTCTTTGACCTCTTTTCAGAATTTAAAGAAAGCGATATCAGAAATTTATACACAAAAATGCTTATCAGGTGCCTGGTGGTGTGGCTCAGTGGTTGAGCTTGGACCTATGAACCAGGAGGTCATGGCTTGATTCCTGCTCAGGGCACCTGCCCGGGGTTGTTGGCTTGATCCCCAGTGTGGGGCACGCAGGAGGCAGTGATTAATCATTGATGTTTCTCTCTCTCCCTCTGCCTCCCTCACTGAAATCAATAAAAAAAAAATTTTTTAAGTGCTTCTCCTATATAATAAAAGGCTAATATACAAATTGTCCCCTCGACCAGGAGTTCAACCAGGGGTGGGCCCGGCCAGCCAACCTCCTGTGTGTCCCCCCCATCCTCACCCCCACCAGACCCCACCCATACACGAATTCGTGCACTGGGCCTCCAGTAAAGTAATAAAATTAGAAACAACCAGTAGTCGGTGGATGATTAGTAATGATAAATAAATCCATGAAGGCCTTTGAATGACACTGGAGACTGTCCTGGAAATGATCGTGGCCCCAGAAGAAAGGACTTAGGGGCAATGGAAGCCTTGCAGGCTGAACCTGGGGTGGGAAGGAGTAATCAGCAGAGGCAGGGCCCAGAAGAAACAGGGAACCTCTCTGGAAGTGGGTGCGGGCTCTGTTGATATTTGGTAGAGAAAGATCCGGATTGGAAATCGGGAGAACATGGGAGAACTGGAGGGTGCAGAGGAGACCGTGGGAAGAGCCGGAAGCCTAGCAGGCAGGCCCCAAGGGGGCAGGACCTGCACGGGTCTGCAGCCTGGGGGCGCTGCCAGCAACCGCTTTAGAGAGACTGGAGGGAGGCGGAGGAAAGGGGTGTCAAGGGAGCGTGCAGTTTCCTAGCGAGGAGCAGTGTGGCAGCGTCTTCCCGCGCGCACACGCCGAGGACTTGCAGCCAGAAGACCCAGGGCTCCGCCGGGCGAAGGGGAGCGGATGGAAGGAGGGATTCGCGAGCTGGAGAAGGTCGCAGTGAGCCGAGGGCCGAGGGCCGAGGACTCCGTGCGGGAGGGAAGGCGGGCAGTCCGCGCCGGCGCAGGGGCTTAGCGCCTGAGCGGTGAGTGTGTAGGTGAGCGTTAGCTCAGACGACGCTGAGACCGCTCCGCCCGCCACCGCCACCTGCCGAGTGTCCAAGACAGCAGCGCGAGGCCCCGCAGCTTCCTGCACCGGGGCAATCCCGGTCCCCACCGCACCGGGTGGTTTGGACGATGACAAGTGTGCAGTGGCTGTGCGAGGGGCGACTGCCGGGCCTATGGGTGAGGCCGGGACCTATGGGCGACGGCTGGACCGATGGGTGAGGCCGGGACCTATGGGCGACGGCTGGACCGATGGGTGAGGCCGGGACCTATGGGCGACGGCTGGACCGATGGATGAGGTCGGGACCTATGGGCGACGGCTGGACCGATGGGTGAGGCCGGGACCTATGGGCGACGGCTGGACCGATGGGTGAGGCCGGGACCTATGGGCGACGGCTGGACCGATGGGTGATGGCTAGACCAATGGACAAGGGCTGGGTGGATGGTGAAGGCTGGGCCGATGGGTGAGGGCCGTACCTACTGGTTAGTGCTGGGCAGGTGGGCAAAGGAGTGACCAGTGGTGTGGGAGAGACCAACCTGCGAGGGCTTGACCTCTGAGCGGGGCCGGACCGTAGGGCGAGGGCGGGACCCTCCCGAGGATGCTGCGCGGTCCAGGACGCTCGCTAAGCGCAGCCGGTGGCTCAAAGAGCGGAAAGGGAGACCTGCCCTCCGCGCGCTCGGGAAGAGACTGGAGTAATCGGGTCTTTAAAAAGTGCCCCGCCTCCTCCGCAGGGACCCGGTGCCGCGCCCTGGGGGCGGCCGGGGGGCTCTGAAACCCACCGCCCGGCGCTGCGAGCCGGAGTCCTGCGCGGACCCCAGCCCGGGCCTCCCGCCCCGACGCCCCGCCCCGCGCGCCGATTGGTCCGGGGGCGCGAGTCCGGCGTCGCGCGGGGAAGACCCGGGAAAGCGGAGTTTCCCCGAGGAATGGGCCGCGGCGCCACTGCGCATGCCTGTGCCGTGACCCCGGCTTGAGGTGACGGCCGCTGCCGAGGCGGGGGCGCCAGCTCGGAGGCGGAGGGACTCGCTGCGCTCAGACCCCGGAGAGGGAGGGTCCCGCTGCGCACACAGTCCGGCCGCCGCCCGGTAAGGACGGGCCCCGGAGGGTCGGGGAGGGTCCCGGGTCCCAGGGCGCGGATGCCCCCACCCCTCGCGGGGGTCTCTCTGAGTTCCTAGGGCGGCTGATCCTGGGGGTCCCCCCGGCTCTGCATCCCAGCGCTCAGGCCACCTCCTTGTCCTTCATCCGCGATTCACCCCCTTTTCCTCGCTCCTTCCTCCACCCCGCCGACCCGGGACTGAGCCCGGATAGACACCCTAAGTCCGGGAGCCCCACGTCAGCCTGCTCTCCTTGACCCCACCCAGTGCTGCTTCCCTCCCCGCACCCATCCTCACCCCGTCCCCTGTGTGGCTCTGGCAGTCCCGCAGGGATGGCGGAGTCGGAAGGGTGCGATCCTGGGAGGGGGACACTCAGAGGCTCGGTCAGGAGGCGATGGACACGATTGGGGAGGATGGGAGCGGGGGCCATTGGGGCGCAGCACAGACAGGTCTGATGGCAAATGGCAATGGGGAAGGGGAATGAAATAACTGATTTTCCGAGCCACGGTGATGAGGGATAGGAGGGGCTATGACGTGAAATTCCCACTTTGGGGGAGCTCTTCCCTGCAAACTACGGAGTAGCAGTTCTTGGACCATCTTGGGGTCATTGCTGCTTTGAAAACCTCCCTGTAAGGATATGTACCAGCTAAGCTGGCCCATCATCCCACCAGTGAGCCAGGCACAGCCCTCCCTGAAGCGCCTAGGACGGTGATGATGGGAGGTGGGGGCAGCTGTCAGTTTCACTGGGAACTTTTTTTAAAACAACCACTACACTCTTACCCTACTTTTAAAAAATATATTTCTTTATTGATTTCAAAGAGGAAGTAAGAGGGAGAGAGAGAGATAGAAACATCAACGATGAGAGAGAATCATTGACTGGCTGCCTCCTGCACACCCCGACTGGGGATCGAGCCGGCAAGCCTGGCACGGAATCGAACCTGGGCCCTTCAGTCCACAGGCGGACGCTCTATCCACTGAGCAAAACTGTCTAGGGCATCCCTATCTATTTTTAAGAAGCTCTGCTAAATTCACCACTGTTCCCATTACACAGGTGTAACCAGCTCGGAGAGTTGTCGGTGGACATTGATGGTATCTTTCATATACAAGAAGGTAATTCAGCCGATCCATCATCAGCCACCAGGCAGGGCTCCCATCTTTCAGAATCTCACCAGTAAGGGATTGGACCTCCCATTAGTTTTCTATTGTTTCAGTAACAAATTAGCACAGACTTAGTGGCTGAAAACAACACAGCTTTGTAACAGTCTTACAGTTCTGGAGTTCAGAAGTCTGATACAGGTCTCAGTGGTTTCAAATCAAGGCGTGTGCAGGGCTGTATTCCTTCCTGAGGACTCTAGAGGAGACCATCTATTTCTTTGTCTTTTGCAGTTTCTAGAGGCCTCCAGCATTCCTTGGCTCATGGCCCCCTCCCTCCATCTTCACAGCCAGCAATGTCGAATTCCTCTGACCCTGTTTCCATCAGCACATCTTTCTCTGACTCTCTCTGCTTCCCTCTTCGGCTTTTTAGGATTGGCCCCACCTGGATAACCCAAGCTCATCTACTTTAGTAGCCTTAATTCCATCTGAAAACTTAATTCTTCTTTGCCATGTAAGGTAACACATTCACAGGTTCCAGGGGTTGGGACTGGACATTGTTGGGGGCCATTGGACATTGTTGGGGGCCATCACACTGCCTCCCAAAGACCTGGTGATATCTCAGAGGCTCCTGCCAGTTCTTAACATTGTGTGAACTGGGCCTTACACTGGGTCATCGTTACACTTCTGGGGTTCCTTTGTGCAGACCAACAGCATTACAGCTGGTTGGGATCAGTGGGTGACTGGTGGCCACAGCAATCTAAAACCATCGGATTACACAATTAAAGGAAGGGTGTAAACCGAGTCCAGTAAGGTAACTGTTAAACTTTTTAATTCATTTCTGCTTCACTTTTTAAAATTTTATTTATTTATTGAACTTTTACTGAGTAAAAATTTAATTTTCAAAATATACACATTTGGCTTAAAGTAGCTGCCTCTCAGTCCTTCCCTTTACACCTAGAAAATAAATTTCTAGAAGGGTGAGGATGAGTCCAGAAGAGAGACTGATGTGCATCCCAGTGGTGTTAAGTAGTATCTCATTGTGGCTTTGTTCTGCATTTCCCATTTGACTAATGATGTGGAACATTTCATGTGCTTATTAGCCATTTGTATATCTTCTTTACAGAAAGGCCAATTCAGAGCCTTTGCCCATTATTAAATTGGGTTGCTTTTTTATTTCAGAGTTAGAGTTCTTTATAAATTCCAGATACAAGACCCTTATCAAATATATAATTTGCAAAAATTTTCTCCCATTCTATGGGTTATCTTTTAACTTTCTTTAAAAAAAAATAACTTACTGATTCCCCACCCCCACCCCCAGCCGGTGTTGATCAGTGGTTAGAATGTTGACCTGCAGACCGAAGTGTCATGGGTTCAATTCCCAGTCAAGGGCGCATACCTGGGTTGCAGATTTGATCCATCCCTAGTTGGGGCACATGTGGAAGGCAACCAGTTAATGTGTCTCTTTCACATTGATCACTCTCCCTCTCCCCCCACTTCCCTCTCCCCACCTCCCTCCCTTCCATTCTCTAAAAATCAATGGAAAAAATATCCTCAGGTGAGGATTAACCAAAAATTTTTTTAAATAAAAATAAAATAGTTTATTGGTTTTGAGAGAGAGAGGAAGGGAGAGGGAGAGAGAGAGAGAAACATTGATGTGAGAGCACAAGAATCACCTGCCTCCTGCACAACCCCTGAGACTGCGGCATGTGCCCTTGACTGGGAATCTCCTGGTGCACAGGAAATGCCCAAGTAACTGCACCACACTCTTTTAACTTTCTTGACAGTGTCCTTCACAAAAGTTTTAAATTTTCTTCAATATATCTGTTTCTTCTTTGGTTGCCTCTACTTTTAGGTGTCATATTGAAAAAAGCTGCCAATCCAAGTTCATGAAGACTTACTGTTATCTTTTTTAAAAAGAGTTTTATAACTAGCTTTTATGATCTATTTAGAGTTAATTTTTGTATATGGTGTAAGGAGGGGGTTCATCTTCATTCCTTTGTATTGGATATCTAATTGTCCCACCACTCAACATTTGTGAAAAGTCTATTCTTTCCCCCATATCAAGGGTCGGATTTAACCTTCACCTCCTAAAGGGGAAGTGTTTTTGGAATTCTTCATAAGGATTTGTCCCTTCTCCCCCATTTATATCAGTGTGGGCCTATGGATATCTATTTTATTCTTTGGGTTATATCCTGAGGACTTACTCTAAAGTCCTGCATGCAGTTTCCTCTGTAACTGGCATTTTTCACTTTAAGCCACAGATGCTCAGGGCAGACCAGCCAGGCCTGGGTTCAAATTTTGGCTCCTGGTAGCTCTGCTATCTGGAGCCACTTACTTAAGTCCTGGAGTCTCAGTCTTCCCAGGGCAGGGGGGATGATGGTGACATTTAGAAGGAAGATTGTTCAGAGATATGGGCTGATGTCATAGGATTTTTGTTCCTGGCTCAGATCTCAACTTGAGGACCAACCACATGGCTCTGGGTAGGTCACTTTAATGTTGGACATGGACAGGCGTGCTGGAGGGGCAGGGTGTGTGCTCTCTCTCTCTCTCTCTCTCTCTCTCTCTCGTTTAATTTTACTCATTTTAAATTCTAGTTGTTTATATTAATCTTTATTTTCTTATATGATATTATGTGGCATAGGAATGGAGACCTTTTTTTTCTAAAGTAGTAGACTAAAAGGAAAATTACCATCTCAGTAAATGTATCTTATGCTTTAAATGTTAAATATTTTCCCTTGTAAAATTAGTTCATGCACGTTACAATTTGGGGGAAATTATAAAAAAATAGAAAACAAGCAAAAATGAAATCCCTCATTCCCACCACTGCTAACATTTTAATGAATACTTCTTAGTTAGCTTTAGTGCATTTTAGTATAATTCTTTGAAAACAGACTAGAAAGCACCTGCTTCTTAAGAATGGGTCAAATAAAATTAGTAAGTACATGAGAAATATAACTGGAATGGAGAATAAATAAAAGACCATTGGATTGAGAGAGAAAGACACAGGACAGGGATTAAAGTTCTTGGTCTTTTTTTTTTTTTTTTTTAAATGCACAGTTGTTTAGCCTAGAAAAGATCATCTTTGCTAAATGTGTTTACTGGACTTTCTAACAACGTTTTTTTGTAAACCAAATATAAACACTTTATTTTTATTTATAGTTAGATACCTTTTTTAAAAGTATATTTTATTGATTTTAGAGAGGAAGGGAGAGAGATATAGAAACATCAATGATAAGAAAGAATCACTGATTGGCTGCCTCCTGCACACCCCCTACTGGGGATCAAGGCCGCAACCCAGGCATGTGCCCTTGGCCGGAATCGAACCTGGGACCCTTCAGTTTGCAGGCCGACACTCTAGCCACTGAGCCAAACCAACTAGGGCACAAATATAAACGCTTTAAAACCTTCTTATATCCTTTTTTACCCCTTGTGTCCTCTTTTTTTCATCTTGGAAAAATGGCTCATTTTAAGGAGCAACATCACTGTCTTGTGGCCTTAAAGTTTAAATTGAATTTTCTACAATTACAGGGTAAGTTAAATTGTGTTCCGGCCCTTTCTAGAGGTCTCTAGACAGGTGGTTTCTACCCTAATAAATGGAAAGAAAACAGGAAATAGGATTATCGGAAAGCTTTGCTTGTAGCTCTGAAGAAAGATATATGTAGAAAACAATGCAGAAATGAAAGTTTGTGATAGGAGGTGGGGATTATCAGATTTACTATTACTGTTTAATGAATTCAATATTACTTTTTCAATTAAATATTTAAAACTTTCAAAATAACCTCAATATAACCTATCTCATTGCTTTCCTTTGGTTAGAAAACTAAATCCGGATAAATTAAGAGTGGTGTCAGCCGAGTAGAGGAGCTGTTTACTATGCAGGCATGTTTTCAAATGGGTAGATCTTGGATGAAGGTGGTTTCTACAAGCATTTTTCATATTTTTAAAATTTGGATGATGAAAAAAAATCCATATAAGCGTAGTCTGGCTCCCCTGGGTGACAGGCAGAGCTTTTGTGCCGGGAGCCGGTCCATCCTTGCTGTTCCAAGGGACCTGGCATATATGGCATACTGTTCTTAATATGTTTGCTCACCTTCTTGGCACTATGTGTTTTAACCAAGGTCACCTCTCTGAGAAAGGTTGTTTCCCCAGGTAGGGATTTTCCCCTGAAGTTAGGGAGGGAATAAAACCCCTTAACTAAGTGCCAGGCGGGTAATTAATCACTTTAACTACGAACAATCATGCTTAAGCTACATAATCTTTACTCCCTGGAATGGAGATAAGAAACGCCCTAACCTTTGGAATAGAGATTGATAGGATAGGAACCAACTGGTATAAATACAGATGTAACAAGACAACAGGACACAGAACCTAGACACAGAACCTACACAGAACCTAGAGACAGAAGAACTTCGCTGGAGAGAACATGGCAAAAGATCCTGGACAGAAACTGGAGACAGAACCTAGAGACAGAACCTAGCAAGAGAACATGGCAAAAGATCCTGGACAGAAACTGGCCACAGAACCTAGAGACAGAATCTGGCTACAGAACCTGGATAGAACATGGCAAGAGAACCTGACTAGAACCTGGTGACTGAACCTGGCTGGAGAACCTAGCAAGAGAACATGGACACAGAACCTGGCTGGAGAACCGAACCAGAACTTGGCTAGAGATCCTAACCAGAACTTCGCTGGAGATCCAGACCAGAACTTGGCTGGAGATCCTGGTTAGAGATCCTGGCTAGGCTGCTGATCAACTGAACGCTGTCTCCGTGTCATTCCTTCTTCGCCGACTCCGTCCACACCTTTGGGGACCCCTGGACCTGCTGGGGTTGGACCCCAGCACTTTTGGAACTGTGGTGGCATTTGTGTGAAGATCCAGCTGGTTTGAGGACTTCTAACTGAGTAAATAGTCCCTAGTGCAGTGGTTCTCAACCTTCTGGCCCTTTAAATACAGTTCCTCATGTTGTGACCCAACCGTACAATTATTTTCGTTGCTACTTCATAACTGTAATGTTGCTACTGTTATGAATCGTAATGTAAATATCTGATATGCAGGATGGTCTTAGGCGACCCCTGTGAAAGGGCCGTTCAACCCAAAGGGATCACGACCCACAGGTTGAGAACCGCTGTCCTAGTGTCATGTGCAGGCCCTGCACACTCCTGCCTTCGGGACATGCTCTCGGTTTGAACGTGCATGGAATTTTGGGGTCAAGATATAGAGACACCACACGCTATGATTTATTAGGCACTTACCTTGTTCTGTGTTGCTATGGACTGAATTGTGCCTGCCCCCAGACCCATGTGTTGAATCTCACCCTCAGGACCTCAGAATGTGGCTGTGTTAGAGAAAGGGCCTTTAGGATATAGACACACACAGGGAAGACCATGTGAGGACACAGGAAAAGGAAACAGTGAGAACTGAGGGTGCAAGTAGGCCTGTGTGGGCTTTGCCGCAGCCTGGTCCTGGGCAGGGCAGGCAAGATGTCTCCTCAGGCTGCAGCATTATTTCTGGGCTAACATGGTACTACTGGGAAGACCTGCCATCCGCTCATCACCTACTTGCCCCCAAAACAAAAAAGTCCACCCAATGCTTATGCCCCAGGGCCATGGTCTTCAGACCAGCCCAGCCCCGTAATCTGTCCTTTCTGCTTCTCCAGGCCAGAAGCCAGGGAGCCCTCAGTGACCACAGATTCTCTGGACAGCTTCACAGCCCTGTCCCCGCTCAGCTGAGGCAGTGGAGCACCAGCTCAAGCACAAGATCGCTGCCTTCATGGACTATGAAAGCACCCCTGGCACCTCCTGAGCTCTGGGTGGCCCCAGGCCTCCCGCCTGGGGTGAGGGCCAGATCTAGTTGTGAGTCCAGAGTCACACCTCTCAGGGCCAGGGACTCTGTGGTCTGCAGAGTGTCAGGGTGAGAGGGTGCTGGGGATTCTGGGAAGGTCAGTGACCTGAGCTCATGTCCCCAGTGCTTGTCTCTGATGCTTGGTGCTCAGGAACGCCAGTGACTGTTATCCTGGACAAGGCACGCCAGGTGTCATGTGGGATGGGCTCCAGCTCAGCCTCAGCTGCCCTCCCACCTCTGCCGCTTCATGGCTGTGCTGGTCGCCCTGGGAGGCTCAGTGTCCTCATCTGTAACCTGGGTCAGTGAGAATGGCGGACTTTCATAACATGGGGCTGGAAGGTTAAATGGAAAACCCATGAGACACTTCGCTTCAGGCTCAGCACCCAAGCACCTGGATTTGTAGTAACTCAGTTATCAGTATCTTAATCCCCAGCAGCCTTCCACCCCCCCCCCCCCGCCCCCAAGGGCAGGGCTTAATTGTAAAAGCACATTTACAGGTGGGGAAGTGAGGTTTGGATGGAGGAGGTGACATGCTCACTGCGGTGAAGAGAGGAGCTGGCCAAGCAGAAGCACCGGCCCAGGCTTCTCCAGCTCTGTTCAAACTGCGCCCCAGATCCATTCTCCTTGAGCCCAGGCTTCACTGTGGGGGTTTGCTTTCTCCCTTAGGACAGAGCCCCTGGACTGCCAGGTTGCTTGCCAGGAATCGGGAGGAGAAATCCGTCTCCTGGAGCTTGAGTGTGGCCTGGGGGACAGGCCGTTGGTCCCAGAATGCCCCTGCCTGAGCCCAGCGAGCAGGAGGGCGAGAGTGTGAAGGCCGGCCAGGAGCCGTCCCCACAGGCCCCTGAGCCGGGCACAGATGTCGTCCCTTCAGCTCCCAGGAAGCCCAATCCCAGGAAGTTCTCCAAACTGGTCCTGCTGACAGCATCCAAAGACAGTGACAAAGTGGCCGCCGCCAAGCGCAAGGGAGTGCACTGCATCATGTCCCTGGGGGTGCCCGGCCCCACCACCCTGGCCAAGGCCCTCCTCAAGATCCATCCCGAGGCCCAGCGTGCCATTGAGGCAGCCCCCCCAGAGCCTGAGCAGAAACGCAGGAAGCTGGACACAGGTGAGGCCCTCGTCCCAGCGAGCCAAACTGAGCAAGACGTCCCTGGGGCTGCAAGTCCCCTGACACCCGCACAGCCGAGGGGCAGACTGGCTTGACTGGCTCTAGAAAGAGCATGCCCGTGCTGTGAGCGTGTCTGCATGTATTCTCTCTCTCCACGTTACATATGAGTGTAAATCTCTGCGTGTCTGTAGCCTCGATGCATGTGTGTCTAGGGTTCTGTGTCTACATGTGGATTTGCCTGGAAAGGTATATCTGTGTGTGTCCACGTCTCTGGGCCTATTTCTGTCCATGTCTGCTCTTTTTTTTTTTTTTTTAAATCCTCACCCTTTCCACTGATTTTTAGAGAATAGAAGGGAGGGAGGGAGAAAGAGAGAGAGAGAGAGAGAGAGAGAGAGAGAGAGAAACATTGATGTAAGAGAGATACATTGATTGGTTGCCTCCTGCACACACCCTGACCCGGATTAGGGATCAAGCCTGCAACCAAAGTATGTGTACTTGACAGGGGATCGAACCCACAGCCCTTCAGTCTGAGTGCTGATGATCTAACCCAGCCGTGGGCAAACTACGGCCCGATGGCCGGATCCAGCCCGTTTGAAATGAATAAAACTATTGAAAAAAAAGACCGTACCCTTTTATGTAATGATGTTTACTTTGAATTTATATTAGTTCACACAAACACTCCATCCATGCTTTTGTTCCGGCCCTCCGGTCCAGTTTAAGAACCCATTGTGGCCCTCGAGTCAAAAAGTTTGCCCACCCCTGCTCTAACCACTGAGCAACTGGCAAGGGCTGTCCATTGCCTGCTCTTGTGTATTTCTGTATTTATGTGTTCGGGGGGGTCTGTGTGTGCATACTTCTGTGCCAAAGTCTATTTGGAGCCCCAGGCTTGGTGCAGGTGACAGTGGGACTTGGAAACCTGAGGGACGCCTGGGGGAGGGGATCCCTAGTAGCTGGGAAGGAGATGAGCTGAGGTTTCTTCCCAACCAGAAACAGGGTCTGCTGTGCCCTGAGAAAATAGAGAAAATAAAGCCACAGCAGTTGGCCCTATTTGCTGCGTATGAACAGGGGCCTCCTTGGAGTCAGTCAGGGCACTCGGCTTGGTAGCCAGTCCCGGGAAAGGGAAACCAAAGCTTCCTGGCTTCCACCAGGTAGCTGGGCAGTACAAGGGACCCCTCCGCACTGATGGAAACAGTGGTGAGTGCTGTGAAGTCAGGGGTGGGGACCCCTACTACTTCCCCAAGGTTGAGACATTAAGGCTCCTGAGACGGGACACCCCAGCTACAGGCCTGAGGAACCCCTCACCCTCCACCCCCTGTTGGATAGGAGCTGTAATCAGGGAGTTGGGGACCCCATCTCCCCAGAACCTGCAGTGTGCCCAGTGTACCCTGTGAGCGCTTCCACCAGCCAGTTCTGGCTCAGGGCCTCCATGTGTATACCTGCTTCCTCCTGCAGCCCAGGGGGTGGAGGGTGCTGTCCTGTGACCTGTTGGGAAGCAGGGTTCAGAGAGGCCAAGTTATTACCCTGCGCCCACCAGCTGGCCCTGCAGAGGGTGGGGGGCATCTGGCTCAGAGACCGTCTTCCCGCTCAACTCAGTGGTTGGGCCGGCTCCAGGGCCTTTCCGCCCTCTCTGAGGCCTCAGCCTGGGCATCCGCCCAGGTTCTTGGGCCAGAGGGGCTCTGCCCCACACACGCTATTGTGAGGATTCGAACAAAAGCCAGCCTTCCTCGGGTGGAGAGATGGAGGGCAGAGCCAGGCTGTCTCTCTGCCCCACAGGCTCCCTTAGGCAGGTACTCCAGCAGTCACCAACCCCCTCAGCTGCCATCCCACCTTCACACGAGCACGCCCCTTGCTCCATCCCTGGCCAGGGGCACTGGGGACAGTAGCAGCTTCCTAGTCCTCAGCTCAGATTTGGCCCAAAGTTTCCTGGAAATGACTGTAGCAGCCTCTGTGGCCTTTGGGAGCGTATCTCTGAGTTGGCAATCTTCGAAGTCGGTCAGTGGTGCCCAGGTCATCCCCTGGTGGGCTGAGAGCTCAGGGATTCGGGCCTGTGCCACACCCTCACCCCTCCCTTTTCCTCTGAACCCTCCTGACCCACCCCATTCTCTTCCAGAAGGAAAAGAAGACGGAAGGTTGGCAGAGGGGCCAGCTCCCAGTCCCACAGTGGGCGGGGAGGAGGCCTCTGTGGGGCCCAGCGAGGCTCCGTAACCCTGAGACTGCAGGCACGGCGTCCTTGATGGCTCAGTGAACTTGGCTGTGACTTCTTCTGCCTGGGGCCCAGTCCCCAATGATTTTCACTCACAACATTGTGTAATGTTTTTCAGCTCAAGCTCAAGTTACTTTTGTAAGCAGAACAAAAGATTAAAATAAAATAAAATAAAATAAATGCTAAATCCTATCATGAACAGGTTGTAAAAATTCCAGGATTCTGGGTCCTTTGAGGCCCAACTCCAACCCCACCAGCACTCACATGGTCCTTCCCCAGGCTGCCTGGACTGGGCTCTATTTCCGATTCAGGAGGGCTCTCGAGGGCCTCCATCCCCCAGAACCTCACACCCCGAGGGCTCCTTCGATCTGGAAATCCAGCCCCTGGCAAGAGACTCGGTGGGTCTCTGAGGTTCCCTTCCTTCTGCCCTGGTCTGAAAGGGGACAGTGGGACCTCCAGCCCTGACCCCCTAGGAAGCTGATCCAGCCACCTCCCTGGCTCCCTCCAGGGCCCGTCCCCTTGCTGGAGCCTCAGGAGGCTCACCTCCTCCAGGCAGCCACATGGGACTGATAGCCCCCTGCACAGGGCTCTGCCATCACTGCGGCCCAGGGTTCTGCTGAGCGGGGGGCTGCAGTCTGGTGGCGGGCCCCCTGACAAGTGTGTGGTGTTCCCATCATGTTCCTTCCAGGTGGGTTGGGGCTGAGATGACCAGGAGCCTGAACCCCTCTCTAGCTCCTGGGTGCTGCCACTGCTGGAGGAGGAAGTGGAGGAACTCCACAGCTCTCCTCCAACCAGAAGTCCAGGTCCCCCAGAGGCCCCGAGACTCAGTTGCCTCACCACAGTGGCCCTCATTATTTGTAAACTGCCACTGGGCACAAGGAAATGGCTTATTTTAAAAAAATACATTTTTATTGATTTTGATACCAAATTTATGGACTGGAACCCAGATTCTTTGTCCACCGGAATTGAAGAATGAATCCACGGACAGAAAGTGGTATAGCAAAGGTGAAGATTTATTGAAGAACAAGTACAGACTCCCACATGGGGAGAGGGAAAGTCCCACAGAACTAACTCCCATATAGGGAGGGGGAAGAGTCCCACAGAACTGACTACCACGTAGGGAGGGGAAAAGGGCCCCACTGAGTTCCTTTTCCCTATGGCTTATAAAAGCTACAGATCCTGGTGCCTTGATATCCCTTCTGATTGGTCAATATTCCCCTTCGAATTGGTTACTATAGTGATTCCTAAGGCCCTCCTCCCTCATCTCCTTCCATTCCTCTGGGCTTTCTTTTCCATCTGGATGAAGGGCTCCCTTCTCTTTATTTTGTAAATGTAGACCTTTCCTGGCTACTTCCCGTTCCCTTGTCTTATGGAAATGCAACTGTTGCTGCTCCCCTGTCTTATGGCGATGTAAGTGCACCTGGCTTCCTTGTGTTATGGAAATGTACTTTCTCCCAGTCTGCAGCCCCGAGCTTTTCCGGGGACCCCAATTCTAAAAAAACCCTAAGCCTGCCTATGTTCCCCCCAAATCCCTGCTTCAATTTCAGAGAGGAAGGGAGAGGGGAGAGAAAGATAGAAACATCAATGGTGAGAGAGAATCACTGATCAGCTGCCTCCTGCACGCCCCACACTGGGGATTGAGCCCACAACCCGGGCATGTGTCCTGACCAGGAATCCAACTGTGACCTCCTGCTTCATAGGTCGACGCTCAATCACTGAGCTAGCTACACGGGCCAGGTATCTCTTGACACCGTCTCAGGAGAGCTAGTTGCCCAGCACGTTTTCCTTGCCAGCTCTCCATTTCGCTATTTTATTTTTACAGCATGTTTGTCTGTAACGTTTATATCCTGCAACCATAATTTGAGATGTTCTTTTGTCTTAATTCCAGATTTAAATAGGTTCCCCTTACCCACCAATTCCTGCTTTCCTCCGTTCTGAGTCATCCTTTAGCGGGGCAGGTTTTGTCTGATGGTAAGAACGTAGGAGGAGTTGCTCAGGCTCTAGCGTGTGATGGCGGAGTGCCCCCCGGGAAGCAGGGGTGAGGAAGGGGAGGAGAGGAGAGGGGGGCAGGCCAGGCGTGACTTCACCCCACTCAGCCTGGCATCCAGGCAGCCCCAGCCTGGGCGGGTCAGAGAGGAATGACAGGCCTGCCCACTCCCCGAACTTCAGTGTGGCATTACTGACCCCTCCTGCTGCTGCCAGGGAAGCTGCAAGCTGCGTGGGCACTCATGTCCTCAGTGAGGGGCCTGGCTGACTTGGTGGCCCCTGGAGGCTGCTTGAGGGCACAGCAAAGGCCCATCTCCCTCCCAAGTGGCCGTCATCTGCCTGGAAGGTGTTTAGGACCGCGGGTCAGGAAGCCCCTGCTAGCCACGCCGGGAACACACACAAGGGCCAGCAGTGTCCAAGATTTTCTTTATTTTGAAACATTTCAAGTTCGTATAAAAGTTAAAGGAGCGGTGTGGGGGACATGGTATAATTCTCACCTAGGTTCACCCCCATTTCTACCCCTTCTCCTCTCTCTCCTGCCACTTGCCGTCCCCTTCACTTCTTGAAGACCTTCAAGTCTGTCCAGAGCAGGGTGCCTGGGATCTAGTGATAAACAAGTCACAGCGCTGGCCTCCCAGGGCTAGACAGGAAACACGGAACTTCCTGACTGGTCAGTCCATGAAAGCTGGGGCAAAGGGCTGCCCACAGTGTCTGACAGGGGCCTGGCTCACGGAGGGCAGCCTGAGAAAGCCCCTAGGGCAGTGGTTCTCAACCTTCCTGAAGCCTCGACCCTTCAATACAGTTCCTCATGTTGTGGTTGTTAGGTTAGGTGGCTCAGGAGGCGGCGCAAGAAATAGAGAGTCCAGTGAATCAGAAAAGAAAGGAAAGGAAAAGGTTTATTTCTGCATCCCCGGGAGACCCGCGTACCCCAAGGACAGGGCACGTGGATTCACGCCAACAGGGAGGGGGGCGCTTTTTTTATACTGCCCTTGGGTGAGGGGCGGGGACATGAGCTGAGGGATTCAGTTGAGGAAGTTTCAGCTGCAGGGGTCAGCCAGGTATTCAGGAATGAGTCAGTATCTGTGTGGGGGTCGTTGTGGATTCAGGGAGAAGCCAGTATCTGTGTCTGGCACGCTGATCTGTTAGACATGCCAGGGGGAGTCCATTATCTCGTCACATGTCTGCATGTATCGATCCTGGGCTCTCTCCGACCTAACAGTGGTGACCCCCAACCATAAAACTATTTTCGTGGCTACTTCATAACAGTAATGTTGCTACTGTGATGAATCGTAATGTAAATATCTGATATGCAGGATGTATTTTCATTGTTACAAATTGAACATAATTAAAGCATAGTGATTAATCACAAAAACAATATGTAATTATATATGTGTTTTCCGATGGTCTTAGGCGACCCCTGTGAAAGGGTCGTTCGACCCCCAAAGGGGTCGCGACCCACAGGTTGAGAACCGCTGCCCTAGAGGGAGTTGAAGGGTGAGGATAGTGGGTGAGAGGATTGAGCCCAGGGCCCGGATGGAGCCGGGCAGGAAGACCAGTGGCAGGAATGGTGAGCAGATGCGGGTGGCTCAGGGCCTGGAGGCCACAGTGAGGGTTTCAGATTCATCACAGGTTGGGAGGTCAGGAATGGATCCATGAAGAGGAGGGACGTGGTCAGCATCATTACACAAAACTCCCCCCAGGGCCATGAGGATGGACTGGTAGGGTCCAAAGTGGGGGCTGGAGAGCCACTGAGGAGGCCCTGATTGGTTGATTTGCTTGGGAGACAGGGCATGAGGGAGAGAGAGTAGCAGCCTTCCCAGTGAGGGGTGACAGTGCCACCTACCAGGAGGGTAATCCAGGAGAAGGGTCAGGGGAAAGTGACCCATTCTGGTCATATGGGAGGCAACCCATCGATGTTTCTTACAGGGATATTTCCCCTTCCTCTCTGTCTATATCTATCTATCTATTTTTCTTAAATCCTCACCCAAGGATATTTTTCCATTGACTTTTAGAGAGAGTGAAAAGAGAGGGAAAGACAGAGAGAAACATCAATGTGAGAGAAACACATCCATGGGTTGCCTCCTGCACTGGCCCCAATGGGCCTTTGACTGTGTTAACGTAAAAACCATTCAAACCTGTAAAGAATTTTGTGAGTTTATTTGAGCCAATCTGTTGACAATTGCCAGGAAGCAGACTCTCAACAGATTAGGTTATGCTCCAGAGAATGGGGAGTTCATTCCTTGTTTTCATAAATTACCATCAAAAGGAAAATACGTGAGTTACATGAAATTCATTGGTGATAGATTAGGGAGGTGGGAGAAAGCAAAGGAGGGGGGAACCTCTGGGACTGGATAAAAAGTGAAATGATGGACATGTGCTTCTTTGACACAGATGGATACAGGATAGTTAACATAGTGAACAGGTGACGATTAACGCGATAATAACAATGAGGGAGTGCCATGTGTTGTGCCCGAAGGGTCCGGAAAAAGGGAAGTTACAAGTTACCCAGACATTTCACAGGTATGTTATTTTAGATGCAAAAAGACAAAAGGCTCAGTAAAGATCAGAGTTGATCTTTGTCAGGGAAAATACTGGCCTAGGACATGACTACCCACCATAACCTGCTTGTAGTTAAATATTTAATTTTCAGACCATCCTTCGCGGTTATTATTGAGTTTGCACAACCGCCATGCAGGCCTTCCCTGAGCTAGTCAAGGTTAGCACATGGCCCCTTTCGTCCCCAATCGGAATGGAACCCGGGACCCTTAGGTCCGCAGGCCCAAGCTCTACTCACTGAGCAAACCGGCTAGGGCTAAGTTTTGGACATATATATCCACTTTTTCTCGGGTGAGGATTAGAAAAAAGGAAATAATAGCACCCTCCTCTTGTGTGTACAACTTAAGCCTGTTTTCTCCTTGGGGTTGTATTCCCCTTGGTTGCTTTCCAGAGCTGTCGTGGGACCCCAGATTCCCAATCCGCCGCGACTTTGCAGGGCAGCCCGGAGTGGGGGGAGGGGGGAGGGGGGAAGAGGGGGAGGGAGGAGATCCAGGCGCCTCCCCAACACCGGGTCGGGAGGACCGCTGTTCTTCTGCAGTCTCAGCCTATCCCTACGGACCCAAGACGCCCAAGACGCACACCCGCACCTTGAGGAGCGGGCAGCGGCCCTAAGGCGCCTTCTGCAGGGGGAGGGGGTGGGCGAT